GGGGGGGTTGGAAGACGAGAGGACAACTAATTGCCACGGGGATTAAAGCGCGAATCGTGAGTCACCGAGACGGACGTTGGGCGTGTTGGTCATGCGGGTTTACGGCGACTCCGTATAATAATTTGCAACGAGCAAATTATATATTCCCGGCGTGGAAGTGATTTATCGAAATCACTCGGTCGTCTTCAGAGAGGGAGGTCGCACCGGACATGGCGACACGGGGGCAGGCGACTCTAATCGCCGTGGTACTCTTTACACGGCCGTATAACCGTCCATCCATAAAAGTTAATGTTTTGTATATAAGGGCTCGGTATTGAATTCGATTCCGCGAAGTTCGCGCGCGCAATTAGCGTTTGAGGGTTTTCCACCGCTCGGTACCGCCGAGACCGTATCGAGCGGTTAACGATCACCGGTCAGCGCGCTCCCCTGGGATCAAGGTTCGCGGCAGCCCGCAGCGAAATCGTCCATTAATTAACGAACCACGACCTTGCTGTTTGGTGGGATGGACGGAAGCCACGGAAAGTCTTCGCCTTAACGACGTTCCGAGATATCGGTTTATTACGCGCGTAATCATAAGAGACGCAGACGGGCCCCGTGAGGGGGACGAACGGAGCGCGGCGAAGAGCCGAGCAAGAGATAGGTAGATAGATAGACAGATAGATATATAGATAGATAGAAGAAAGAGAAAAGGAACGCGGGGGGAAAGGGGGGGGAAGAAAGGAGTAGTATCTCGAGTTGTGCCGACGGGTTATGCATACGGAATCGTTTAATCGGCCATAGTGCGTCGTTCGTGAAGCGCATCGACTGACTTTATAATTTTACGACGTTCCTAGACCGCACCGCTCCTTCCTCCCCCACTGCCCTCGAGCATCGAGCTTTTTTCACTGCCAACCGACTGGCTGTTCTCCCTTGCGTATGTGTGATGCGTGTGTGTGTGTGTGTGCGCGCGCGAGCGCGTCTTCACTTCCCGTTTTACGACGTTATACTACCGGCGTAATATCCCTCTGGGTATTCCACATCCTAATCGGATGTGTAATAAAGGTCGCGGTAATTAACGCCAGGATGAAATTAGTCGGTTGGTAGCCGAGATCGCGAAGCGAGACTTGTATACGGTCTAAAGGAAAAGAAAAGAGAAAGAGAGAGAGAGAGAGAGGCTGAACAAGAGACCCAAGAGAGAGAAGGAAACGGAGAAAAAGGTCAGAAGGGAAGGAAACGACGACAGTGACAGAGGGTAAAAGAAAGAAGGGAAGCCGTATGTAAAAAAAAAGCAAACGACAGGACGTGTGCACTCACCCAGCTGTAGTAACGACGCCAGTCAGGTTGTCGACCCTGAAGAGCCAGCTAGTCTCCTCGGCGATGGCGTACGTGATCTTCCCGTTTACACCTTGGTCCGAGTCGATCGCCTTCACGGTTATCACACTCGAGTCCGGCGGGATGTCCTCCGAGACAGTCGTCACATACTTCGTGGGATAGTAATTCGCCGGATAGTTCGACCGCACGAAAACTGGAACGTTGTCGTTGATGTCCAACACGATCACGGTGAGGTTGCAGTACTCTTGCCTGCTCGGCCTTCCCCTGTCCTCGGCCGAAATCGTCAACACGTACTTAGACACGTGCTCACGATCCAAACTTGACATCGACAACACCCCGGTGATCGGATCTAACGCAAATTTGGCGCCTATGTTGCCGCCTGGAATTAAAAAAAATGTAAAGATTAAGCCTCGAATTTTATTTACACGATTTTTCATACGCCGCGTCTGACGGGACCACTCACCTTCGATAGTGTAGAAGATCTCGCCATTCTTGCCATCGTCAGGATCGGTCGCAGCTACGGTGTGGATCACAGAAGTTTCCTGGTTTTCCGGCACGGCGAGAGTGTAGCAGGAGCCCGGCCGAAATTCCGGACTGTTATCGTTTTCGTCCATCACTACAACTTCCAGAGTCGTGATGTCCAAAAGTTTGCTGGACCTCGCCAAGATGGAAACTGAGTAATGCGCGACCTCCTCGCGGTCCAGAGGACCCCGAAGAGTGACTTGACCATTGGGCGCTATGGCGAACTTGTTCGAAGCTATGCCGTTCAGGATGATGAAAGTGACGTTACCTATACGCGAAGCGAAACAAAAAGTTCGTCATATAGATGCGTCCGCGTATGTTTTATGAATTAAAAAATAATAATTATAACAATAATCAATTTATTTCCAAACGAATAAATAAATTGTCATCCTTTTCGCGGATTCAGCGGCTTCGCGTGATTTTCCGGTTCGAGCGCGGCGACCACGTCGGTGACTTTAATGCTTTCGATTTTCGAATTCCAGCGCGCTTAGCTCCATGCTCGTCGAATTTTTAGCGGACTTAGAACAAAGCGACGCGGTTTAGCGTGCGTGTCGCGCCGCGGCCATCCTTCGTCGTGTTTCCAGTAAGTAAGCGACGTGTCGTGTGCGTGCGTGCTTACGTGCGTGCGTGCATGCGTGCGTGCGTGCACACGCGAAATCGCGCGCGTTGGTGTGGAGGCCGACGATTTGCCTATGCGTACCGCGGCAGGCCGGCGGCACGATGATATACGCGGCCATTGTTTCGCCTCGTCCTCGCTCTAATCCCCCTGCTGCCTTCCTGGCGTTCTACGCTCACTCCCGCATTTCGCAACTACCTCCCCTCTACGCATTGCTGAGCCGCCGCGTCGGGACCCCGAGGGACTGGCACCTTCGGCGCATCCGTGAGACGCGCTAATGCGCTCGTCCGGCGTCGCGATAGATAAGCGGCGAACCGGAGATACCGTCTGACTTCGTAGCGGGGCTGGTTTATCGTGCTTCAACTGTTCGTCAGACTGAAATAGGCTGGATCGAGTGCAAGTATGCGGATCTAGCGCGGAGAAATGAGGCGCGAAATGCATATAGTGACCATCGCACGCACGAAGATACGTGTGTGTAAGCACATCCAGGAAACGTGATCGTTTATCAAATTCTCGTAATTGACATTTTGCTTATTACCGATTTTCTTGCATAAAATCTCATTAGACGTTGATGCGAATATACGCGAGGCTCAATTACACGGATGGACAATTTTCAGCAATATCGCCTTCGAGAAGCGCGTCTTTTTCTCCTGAACGCTGGACTCCTCGCCGGACCGCTGATATAATGCCGACGGACTCGTCCGGTCCATACACTCGCGAGACTCCCGCGACGATAATTAGCAGCATCGCCAGATCGCTAATTCCGCGCATCACACGGAAGATACGCCAACGTTTGTCGTAAAGAACGCGAACGAGCTCGCTCGAAAGCACGTTATCGCATTTTCCGAGGTAGAAGGATCTTAAGACGCATTTCGGTGAAAATGACGATTTTACGGAACGAACAAATCTTGGAATTTTTTCGGCCGGCGCAGACCACGACTTGCCTTTTCCAGCCAAGGCGTGCGCGCGAGAAGAAGTTGCAAACGAACAGAGCCGGCCGCAGCGGGGTACTCTGAGCGGAACGGCATTGTCGACGACCCCGAGGGAGTCCGAGCCGCGCGAGTCATTTCGCTGAATTTACTGTAATGCTCGACACCGGCCGGATTCGAGGCAATTATTCCAGGTATTTTCATAGCAGGGCTTTCCTATTAGCTGCGGCGAGCGTATAGTCGCGATTATGCGGCACCGTGTGCGTGTAGTGTGTAGGTGGCGGCGAACTCCAATGCGTACTGTCTATGCCGAAGGCTCGCTCGAAAAGAAAGAAAGGTGAAATCGCGATCGTCAGAATGCGAGTGAGACGCCCGAGAGAAGTACGAGAGATAGCGAACTGTAATTTCAACCGCGATCGCCCTACACACCGTTAAATTGACAGTCCCGTTTGCACCGACGGAAACTTTACGCACCATCGAAACAATAAGGACGGAGTGCCTAAGGGTATCCTCCGTTTTTGGTCCTCCCGCGCGTCCTTGTTACGCCTTGGGAATCGACAAGCATCGCGTTGCTTGTTTTGTTTTTCACGATTATTGTACGCCGTGAATACGTCGTTTTTTTCGTCGGTTCGCTCGAAATTATAAATTGAAAATTCACTTGATCTGGCTCGATGATGTTATTAAACTTTATATTCAGTTGTCAAAATGAACGAATTTGATAAACTTTAGTCTAACTGAGCACGATGAAGATATATGTAATTATACGCAATAAAATCTTTAGTCTTACCTTGACCAATTGCTGATCCTGCAACGTTCATCACATGCGATCCGACGTGGAGGTTTTCGGAAATCTTGGCGATCGGATTAGGCAACAACAGCCGAGGAGGTCCGCTCGCCTGCGCCGCCACCGGAATCACATTCAGCTTCATCACGGCCTTGCGGAATGGCGATCCGTGATCGTTGGCCGTAATCTCGAGATTCAACGGCTTTGTGAGGGGCTTCGCGAGGCTTACGATGCCCGAGTCGTAGCCCACAATGATCCGTGAATCTTCGTTGCCCGAGGTTATCACATAAGATACCCGACCGTTGTCGTCATCGTCCTTGTCCACGGCAACGACTCTTACCAGGCTAGTACCTGATGAGATTTAGAAAATAAGAATTTGATTAATCGTGTTATGATTCTATAATACACGCAGCTGACGAGATATGAAACTTACCGGTCGGAAGATTCGACGCGACGTTTATCTTGTTAAATTCAGGCGCGACGAAGACGGGATCGTTGTCATTGTCATCGATAACGACGATTCTCGCGGTGACCGTGGAAGCTAACTGCTCCCCCGGTAATGCCCGGTCCGATGCTTTCAGGATCAGAATGTGTTCCTCTGTCTCCTCCCTATCCAATTGCTTGGCCAACGTCAAAGCGCCGGTCAAAGAGTCCACGGCGAAGCAACCTTTCGACGGGAACTCGGATACGAGACCGTATCTAAGTTCGCCATTCAGGCCGCTGTCCAGATCGCTGGCCGTCAGATTGTAAATGGTCGAGCCAATCGCTGCTGCTTCGGACACCTTAACAGTTATCGGATCATCCGGCCAACTCGGCGGATTGTCGTTGGCATCCTCTATGATGATTTTCACGGAAACGGCGATGCTCTGAGGATTCCCGAGCGAGGTGGTGTCTAATGCACGGATCTCCAGGTGATATTCGCTGACGTTCTCGCGATCGAGCGAGTGGGCAACTACCAGCTGGCCCGAGCTGCGATCGACGTCGAAAGCTGGAAACTCGCTGATCGGCGTCAACGAGTCCAAGGTGAAAGCCACGCGACCCGTAGGACCCGCTCCCGAAACTAATCCCACCGCGTGCCCGATACTTGCATCCTCGCGCACCTGAATGCGTCGAGTATATATTATTAAATCCATTCCACTTTATTTCTTCTGTGTTATTAAAAATATTCTCTTTCCTGGCGATAATTTATGTATCGATTGAAACTGAGGGAATATCACATAACAAAGCCAGAATATGTACTTATATTTAGATTTATTATTTATGAGTATTAATTAATAAGAAAGTTAAATGTTAAGTTATTATAGGACATACATCTTTCAAAGAATTAAATGAAAAAAAATTAAATGTTAAATTCAACGATTAATAACAACGCGCGAAGATCGTAAGATTGCGATAAAATTTCAATCTCCCATAGAATTTTCTACAGAATTTCTAACGTGGCATAAATTGTTGCGAAGCTATCCGCGGGAGACGCATGTAACAACGGCGGCGAGACGGCCGTCGGAGAGATGTTAGCGCGATCATAAATGTTCTAATGAATAATTGCAAGAGAGGCAACTATGGGAGATCCACGGCGTCCAGCGAAGCCAGAAACAAATCTGATGGGGGGGAAAATGAATCCTACCGGGTGGCGAGGTCAATAGTACTCACGTTAAAGGTAAGACTGCTGCTGGTGAAGGTCGGCCGGATATCCGCGAGCGCCAGAACTTCGACTCGCAACACGCGCTCGCTGTGTCGCGGCGGATGTCCGGCGTCGGTCGCCCTTACGGACACCCGGTACACGTTGCGCTCCTCGTGATCGAGCACGACCTTGGTCCTGATCATCCCGGTGATCGGGTCGATGGTGAAGACATTGTAGCCGTCCGAGTCTCGATCTGCAGCGGAAAACGAAGTCAGGTTGTGCGAGTAGAAATATTCTCGCCGTGAGATAGACGGGCAAAATTAATCGTCTGGACGATTATTCCTGCTGTTGCGAACTTGAACGCGGGAGAGTTGCAGTGCGGCATAGAAAAACTCTCTGATATCTGTGCCGTTGACTCTGAGGAGAGCCGTGTACGCGAAATAGGCGCCGCGCATAGAGCTTGCGGAATGAAATGCACTGACATGGACGGGGTACATCGTTGCGCGCTCCTCGACAATATTACAGAATATCCCGCGATGCGATGTTAAGATTTAATCTCGCGATCAAGATTCTTTTCTCGCCGTCCAGTACGCGCGATCGTGAAAATCCGATTCCGATCGTAACCAGCGCGCGCTCGCGCGCTCGCGTCCGGTAACGATTCCTCATAGGCGGCCGGGCACATTTCGCTAGGCGGATAACACGCCCGGCAAAAACGGGCCGCGACTGCTTTTAAGACCGTGCATAATTGTTTCTGTAATTGCTGCTGGGTTATTAAAGTCTCAAAAAGCTCTAGCTCCGCCGCGGGAGAGTCGAGGGCCGGGTAAGAAAAAAAAAAAACCCAAGTCCGCCATCTAATCTCCGGCATGTAAGTACCCTCTCGCTATTTCTCTATTATTCCTGCAGACTCTCCGCGGCTCACGAGCCCGGGCGCCCTCGTAACGAAGCCGCGCAATTATTGGCCGCGTACACACACAGGACTAATTGTAATTTATATATTTTCTTACCGGGATAATCATGTCCGTGCGCGGTTTCCTTAATTAGACGAGCGGCGCGCAACCGATTGGTCGCACACACAGCGACGAACGGGGTAATCGAGAATGAAACGGCCTTACCATCGCGAGATTAAGACATCCGTGGGGTAAATTAAAGCGGCGTTAAACTCGACGGTTGCAAACCGTCCCCTTACCTTTCGGGATGCTGTACGTCACCGAGGCGTTTTCACCGAGATCCGTGTCCAGCGCCCGCACTCTGGCGACCTCCGTGCCCGGTGGCTGCTCCTCCCTGACGCTGACCACGTCCCCCTGCGGATCGACGATCTCGGGCGAGTTGTCGTTGATGTCCAGAACCGTGACCTTCAGAGGCACTCTGGCGGCTCTCGACGGTGTCCCTTGATCCCGCGCCTCCAGTACCAGTTCGTGGATGCTTTTCGCTTCACGGTCGAGCGGCTCGCGCGTGGTGATCTCGCCTGACGAGCGAAGGGGGGAAAGAGAAACAATTAATTTTCATTGCGCTTCTACGAGCGACGCGACGAGCGTCGGGCTTAGCCGGCGGTATAGATAGCGAATTATTAACGATCTATTAGCAATTCCCCGCAGCGCTGCGGGTAGCGTCTATTAGTGGATGCCGGGGAATATATTTATGGGCGCGCGACAAAAAGCTTCCGTACCGGTCTGTCTTGATATTAGATGATGCTTAAAGGTTGTGGGCCTGATGGATCTTACGTACCGATTCTCTCAAGCACTCGTGCGACCAATGGAGAGATCGCGCAAGGCACATGAGAGAGCGTATTCGTTCGTATAAAATCGAATATGGCCGGTCGACGTCTCTTGTCGATCGCGCGGACGTCTAGACCGACCTTATCAATTTCCCTCGTCGAGAACGGTTAATTGGATAATCGTTCGTATACGCATAAGAACCATCTGTGCAGCGGTCGTTCGTACTCCTCGATACATCGGGAGTTTCATTTTTCGTTTCCGCTTTCGCTCTCTCTCTCTCTCTTTTCTTCCCTCTCTCTCCTCGCATATAATAATCGTACTAGGGGCGTACGTAGTCGCGTGTAACGAGGTCTACCATAATTACGTACGTATCGCAGGGAGTAGTCAGAGTCGAGGAGAGGAGGACGAAGGTACAAATAAGAAAATCGAGGATGAGGCGAAGGAGAGGGCGCGGAAAGAGCACGGCGCGGGGGTAAAAGAGGGGAAAGGTGGAGTAAAAGCGCAGAAGGAACTCGGTCTCCCTACTTTGATGCACGGTCGGCGTATTAATGGATAATTAAGCGAGCGACTATAGCCGAGAAGCAGAACTATTCCAGGATCTGGGAAAAGGATCGGGATAATAATTCGTTCCCGAGACGACGACCTCTGTAAGATGTTCGCGCCGACGCCGGGCCCTCGGTCTGGCCTGGGGTGCCACCATGCTGAATTCTCGACGTACCTAATCGAGAACCATCGGCGACCCGTCCCGGCGTTCGCCACCGACGCGGTGGCTGGACGACGCCGCCGTCCTCCGTCGTCGACAAGACAAACGATCGACGGAGGACATGCAAACGCGCCGGCCGGCCCGGCGATATCGTCCGCGCGTTAGGGGATACACCATCGCGCAACAATAAGAAGTATATCGTGGGACGCGTGCTAATGCGTTTCTCGTGTTAGCCGTGGGACCGCGCGACCGATCTCACCGTCATTCTCGTAAGGGGAACGTGACTTTTTGTCTTCGCGTGCCTCTTTCAATATTTGGAAATCCATCGCCGCGATCGGATGTACGAGCCCGAGGATCGCGTCCCGTGACGAACGGACGGACGGACGGCACGGCGTCGGTTTCTCGAAAATCAAACAGTCGTTCGACGAATGGATGAACGGTAGGAAACCTGACGCGAGGAATCCCAGACCGGGATTAGATCGAAGTTCTGCATCGTGAAACCTGCTCGACGGCTTTGCAGCCCCGCGCGCGCGTTGCTAAGTCGCGGACTAGCTGAGCAACCTTATCTTTAATTTCATCACCGACGCAAAACCACATACCAAATTATCGACGCGTAGGAAAGCCGCGGGGAAAACGCGGCTAAACATGCTCGCCGCTGAAAAATAAATCGCTAAGTAATCCGAGATCCGATCGAGATATTTTTATATCACGTGCTTAATTATAATATAAATCGACCGTAATCGTCATTCATCACGACGCGGCGCACACCGGATGGACACGTACGACGTATTAAATCGATCTCAGATTATCGAACGGATCTTTTCCTTTTCGCAGATCTCTCTCGCGCAAAGTCAACGCGCTGTAAAGATGACCGCTACAAGGTAGCACTGTACAAGTATTATCGCATGCCTGAAGCGAGCGTGTCCGTGCTCGCGCACAGTACACAGGCCACGTGGCGCAGATGGCACGTGGCCGCGCTGCAACAGGTATCCGATCGATACGCAAGTCGGTCGCGGTAAGGTCACGGAAATTCCTGAGATCGCAATAATCGCTCGTATCGATCGCGTTAGCTTGAAGAAATCGTACGGGACGTGCGAGAGTGTCAGCATTGGAAGAGAGGCGCAAGACGACGGAACGCGACTTCGACATTTCCGACGAACGTCTTCAACGCCCGTGCAGGGAAAGGGGGGGGGGGAGGGAGGAGGATATCGGACTGCTAACGGCCCCTGATCACACCCGGTACATATTAGGAACCGGTCGAGTCGCACTGACAATCGAATATTCCCTTACTCTTCTCGTCGCGTATCATCGCGGACAAGGGCGTGCCATTCCATAAATCACCGCCGGTCGATCTCTCCCGACATTGTAAGCCAACACGCGAGGGGCCGCCTTAATTGGATGAATGGAGAAAAGGGCGCCATTAAGCGAGTGTTACGGGGGCGACCTACGCGGAAGGAGCGGAGGTTCTCCGCGCCGCGCTCGAGGGTTTTCTCAATGGGCGATCTCTCGCGGTTAGAGCCGATCGAAGGACAATGGCCGGGCGAAATTTCAACTCACTCCGCCGCAGGTCCGTTGACCGGACAATGTGTAGTCGCGCTGCATGCAGTGCGGGGATTAATATAGAAGTACTCGTACGACAAGACAGCTGATACTTCCGGCAGCGCGATCGCCCCCCCCCCTTCCTCCCACCCCTCCCCCACCCCCTCATCGCCGTCGTTATCCCTCATCTTTTTTTCTGCCTCTCGGATCCTCTCCGCGACCGCGCGGTCGGGATGACTCGAGAAGTCCCACCTCTGCAAACAGGCAGCGGATACGAAACGAAGAAAGAAAGAGGGAGAGAGAGAGACCCGGGCCTCTCGGGCCCGAGAGCGTGTACACAAATACTCCCGTGTCGCATGCCAATCAAACTGCGCGCATTGCACACGCGGTGCACGCCGCTATACGTGTGCGCGTATTTCGCGGCGTGTGACGGGCCCCGGGCCCCGTTCCTGATGATTCGTTACACGCCGGCCAGGCGAAAGCGCCACTCTTACCGGATTATATTTTAATACCCACGAAGCGTACACACTGCTGCAACCTAAAATGAGCTATACGGAGATCCCACAAAAAAAAAAGAAACGATCCTCGTGTCGTTCTTGTTACTACAGCCTGGTAATTTGGTAAATCGCCATTGAGCGACATCGCGAGCTTAAACCTCGGCGGTCGTATTTGTAAAATGTTCGATTTATTTAACGATCGCATTACAACGTATAGTTTAAAGTGATGAAACGTTATCAAAGAATTTCGAAATAGTCTGGGGGAGAAAGAGAGAAAGAGAGAGGGAAGCTGAATAATGTTACCTGGGAATACCAGGAACTCTTTCATCGATTACGAAATCGTTCGACAATGGCGCGGCCATAAAGGGCCGTTGGGTTGACGTAAGAGCAACGCGTAAATTACACGCGCCGACGGCTGGGGGCCATTTAGTATTTAATACTCTCTCTTTTTCCCGCCCGTGAGCGTCTCTTTTCTTCCGTCTCTCGCGCTTAAATCGATCTTTCGTTGAACGTAACGTCTATTCCTCTCCTATCGTATCTGCTGTGAAAGGAACGCGAAGGGACAAGGGAGAGTGGAACATATCACACCGGCGATTCAGACTCGGAGAATTAATAAGAAGCTAGCGAAGGCGCGTTCAATTTTTATTTAACAGGCCAAGAACCTGTCTTAGACAGGAAGTAACCGCGGGCTGCCGCACTTGGCAGCGAGCGAGGACGCGAGGAGAGTTGCGATAGAAGTCAACGGCGGAACGTAGACGAGAAAGAGACCGCGAGACACGGAGATATCGGCTAGGCGTCAGACCGATGTATGAGAATACCTGGCGGAAATAAAAGACTTCGCGGTAGACGCGGAGTACAATTACGCTTGCGATAGCGCTTCGAGACGAAGGGCAGGGAATATAATTTAGAGAACCGAAATGCGGTAAAAAGTTAAAGTTCGATAGGATTTCAACGAAGATTGTATTATCGATCACGGCGCGGAGAGTTCGCTTCCGCTACGCGGCGACGCATTCCTGCGACCGCGTTGAAATATGCGCAAGCGTCGCGAGTATGACAATAATGCGAGGCAAAAAGCGTCACGACGAAGGAAGAAATTCCAAACGTACAACCAAAATGTTAATCGCTGCGAATCGATCACTGTCACCCGCGAGAAGCACCGAGAAGGGTCCACCGAATCAGGAAGTTTCTCCTTGTAGTACATCTCTTATTCACGGTTGTCGAGTAGCGCGGCACCGGTAACTCCGGTGTGAATTTAACTTGTCCGAGAACGAGCCGGTCTCGGAGCGGAGAGAATAATGCGATTCTTGCCGGGTCCGTTCAACGAATTCTCGAATTACACGTTCGCAAGCAACTCGAGAACACCGCGGGCCGAAACTCGGCGTACCCGTGGAAACGATTCGCCAATATTTTTCTCCGCGAGTTTTTTTCAAGCTGCGTGGGCATCTCCGGCTCACGGTCCTCGAAGCCCCGGACCCGGGCCGGCTTTTGCAAACACTCGAGCATCGTTACGACGAGAACTACTACATATACGACGTTTTTGACCGTGGCGTTTGACGGCGACGCAAACGAAGTGCAAACGGAAAACGAGGGGAATGAAAAACAGGAAAATAAGATGTTGAGATAGCCTCTTACCCGTGTCGAGATCGATGGCGAAGCTGCTGTTGACTTGGACCACCGTGTATCTGAGAAGCGAATTCTTGCCGATATCGAGATCGATGGCGCTCACGGTGCCCACCAGAGTGCCCGACGGTAGATTCTCAAGCAGCTCGAATTCGTAGAAGTCCTTCTCGAATCGCGGATCGTTGTCGTTGTCGTCCAGGACTGTCACCAGCACGGAGGCGCTCGCGGTCGCCGCGGGCGATCCGTTGTCGACCGCGAGAACCGTCAAGATGTGCCGATCGAGCGTCTCGCGGTCCAAACTTTGCGCCAGGTAGATCCAGCCGGTGTTGGGGCTGATGCGAAAAGCGGTGGAGCCCTGAAGACGATAGCTCAGCCTCGCGTTGTTTCCCGTGTCCAGATCCACCGCTGTCACCTGAAGAATCTGCAAATGACAAAGAATTCACGATGACCAATGTAACCTGGTTTTGCGGTCATTAAATTGCACGCGAGTGCGACGACGACTTTATTACGTTTAATACAACAATTCGAAAACACGAAGGCATGCGCGATGGAATGTTAAAGTCCCAGACGAACAGAACTACGATGAAAATCGTGAAACAAGAACAATCGCATCATTCACAGACAGCTCTCGCGATCTCGCGAGAGCGAGAAAGAATAAGAAAAGGGAAGGGAAAAAGAGAGGCGGCGCGGCGTCCGGACCAGTCGATCCGGTCGTTCCGTATTAATTAAAACGTACCCAAGTACCGCGAACCCTAAACACGTTCGGACCAGACGATGTTTTCCAGCGCGGGAGGATGGTGAATTGCGAAGGTCGAGGAAAAAGAAGAGCAAGAAAAAGCGCACGGATCGGGAGTGTATAAGGTCGTGTCTCGCATGAACCCGCGGTTTACGAATGATGGATGACGGTATAAGACGGAGGGAAAGAGGCGGGAGAGTGGAGGAGGATGAGAGAGACGCCGCGCGACCGGGTTGTCTTCGCGGCGGATCGGGAGGGGGTGGGACGCAGGTTATCATTAGATGAGGAACCTGACGTGGGAGCAGGCCGTAATGTGTCTAACTGTACGTTATTAGTTCACGGTGGGTGAAGGGTTACGCTCACTCTGCCAGATTACTCCTTCGCTCTTCAACTACTTCCTCCCCGCCGCGTATCTATCTCGCCTTCTCGCTCAGAGATCTTTCTGTCTCATTCCACCTCTAACGTCTACACTAGTGGCTGAGATATTGTCCGGATACCACCGGACAGCTCACAGATCTGTTTGCCGATAGATACCACCGATATATATATCTAACCGGGTATACTAGGAGGAAAATAGAACGGGAGATCGAGTGATGAGGGAAGAAGGAAGAGGAAGAGAAAGGGGACGAGATGACCGAAAAAGAGAAAGAGAGAATGGAGCGCGAACTGTCGCGAACGTCTAGCTCCACTCTGTCGTATCCGTCTGTACGTTGTATTAAAAATGCGACGTCGTTTAACGGGCGTATCTCGTGGCGGGAATCTCACTGCCATTCGTCATCGGTATATCCTCGCATTCAGGATTACGTTCGCTCCGTATACCGCGGGGCTACCATCGCCGACGACGAAGCGTAGGACCTATCAGCCGCGCGCCAACGACTACTCGCTTCTCGCGAGTTTCGCGGCTAATGACTCTCTTTCTCCTCGAGACGCGGTCCCCTCGTCACAAAACCTCGCCGTCGACCCATGCTCGCTCTTATTTCGATTTTTTGCCGGATAATGACTGATATGTGTAGATAATTATAGGGGGAGAGTTGCACGTCGCCATCGGCGATCTTCGCGGATGGACCCGGCGTATCTCCGAGGCTCGCACAAGCATCGGATTCACTGTGGGCGTTCTCCCGACGACAAAGATCGAGGATTCGCGCAGGTTCGAGTAAAATGCAAAAATTCTAATTTTTCAAACGCAATCGAAATTCTGTTAATTTTGATATAAGCTATACGTAACGTGATAGATCTTTCCCCGTTGGAAACTTTCTCGCGAAATGATCGACCGTGCGGCACGGCGCGGCGTTCCCGCGGGCCTATCGACTGTTACCTATCAATCCTAGGGCCGCTCTCTCGTGGAACTCGCGGCTGCTCGCAATCGGTATCAACCGCGGCAACATGCCGCGTCTAGATATCAGATTATCGGGCATTCCCTATCCATCTCCCGGCCCCGAACTGGTTCGTCGAGCAACCACGGCTAATCTCGTCTGCAGCGTGATGCAACGTCCGGTTAATTCCGTTCCTAACCGGCGCGGGGTTAATTCTCTCTTTGCCTACAAGGTGAACTTCGCGAGTCAACGTCTTCTTCTCCCTTCTCTTTCGAGAGAGAAGCTACCCGGAAGGGGAGTAGACTGGTAGCCGTGGCGTACGCCTCGCGATACGAGAGGGGGCAAAGGGTTCACCAGGCGCGTTCTTCCTGGTTGTCCCGGATAAAATTACGCATCCCAGAGACGGGAGAGAAGTACGTTTCGACGCACAGGAGCAAAAAAGAATCCGGCCGAGGAAAAAAAGGGAACGATCGCTTCGCGTCGCGAAGAGATACCGATGAAGAGCGGAAGAAAGGCCGAACAGAGAGGTTGTTAACTTCTACTGCCACTACCATCCGATCCAGAAATTCTACCTCTTTCTTTCTCTCTTTCTACCCCTCACTCTCTCTCTCTCTCTCTCCTTCGCGCTTCCTTTTTCGAAGAACCCTACCGCATCCTCTCGACAAACAAATGCTCGCGTGACGGGCGTGTAATGAAGATTTTTCTCACCTGGGAATCGAGCCTGGCGCCTTCGGGAACCTCCACGTGATACTCGTTCCTCTCGAACACTGGGGGGTTGTCATTCACGTCCTGCACCTCGACGCTCAGGCTGAGGTTAGACGAGAGCCCGGCGCCGTCCAGGGCACTTATCAGGAGGCCGTGCCTCTGCTGGGTCTCGTAATCCAATCGCCTCGTCAAATAGAGCTCGCCGCTGCGCACATCTATCCCGAACAGGTTGTTGCTGTTCTGACCGAGAAAGTAGCGTATCGGCAGCAACGGCGTGATGTCGGGATCGGTAGCGTGCGCCACGTACAGAGGCACGTGAAGAGGATGCGATTCCGGCACCGAGATGCGGACGGTGTTCGTGCCAAATGACGGCGCGTTGTCGTTCACGTCCTCCACGATCACTTCCAGCTGTAAGAAAAAGCATGGACGGATGTCGCGTAAGCGCTGCGACTGACTCGGCGACGCGGTTTTTCACGGCACGCAAACGGTACTCTCGTGTGCCTCGATCGTTAACGCGAAACTGGTAAACGACAAACTAAACTCCACGTTTTTCAAAACACACGATGCTAATTCACTAACGAGCACGCGCGCGTCGTTCACTGAATATTAATATAATAATATCGGTGGGAAACGCAAAAAGTCGTAGCGCGGACTTTTCGCACGCTTCGGGATTATTATATGTGTGCATTCACGGTAAATATATTGAGAACACGGATAAACGGCTATGATTACGGTGAGTTAATACCGAGATACGATGATTATCTGGACGCGCAATTTACCTGGCAATATCCAACGGGGCCGCCATTACGTGCCTCGACGCTGAGAACGTATTTGTCACGTGATTCCCGATCGAGCGGCTGTCGAATCTTCAGCATCCCCGTGTTGGGATCCAGCGAGAGATCAGCTTCCTCACTTGCCAGATAAAACCTGCTTGGTCGTTCGCCTGCAAATGCAGAATACATAATTTAAATAATGTATACAGATATACATGCATCAGATATAAATAAAGAAGGGGGGAAAAATAGCTTTAAACGAGGGAAGAGAAACACATATTGCGTTAATTTATTCATAATAAGTCTCGTCGTCCACCTCGTTCAGCGGGGACTAATTAAAACAGTTATATCAGAATAATCTCGATAAATTATGACGCGGGTATCAAAAAGTAGTTGAGTTTCCGGTTGCATTTGCATGGAAATTTGCATTATCGCAATTTAGTTTTCATAATGGCTTCTGGTTCACCAACAAACGTTGAGTTGATCGACGTGAGTTACTATTAAATCACGATACTTACGTCGCGACCGCGGCTAAACCGGGAGATCGATAGCTATAGTTAAAGTCAGTTTACCGTCTGTCGTTCCCATGCAAAGTTCTAACGAAGTTGTCAAATTGATTTGCTTTTGCTTACATCAAAATGATCTTCAACGAGCAAAACGACGCGCGCATCGATCAGAAAAATATTCCGGCGTGCGGCGTCACTTTAAAGATCTCTCGCGCGGAAACGAGATACTCTAGTAGCTCTGAACGTCGACTGAAGAACGTTGACTGCTCGACTTCGCTGGCGACGTCAGTCACAGTTGCTTCGCGTCACGATTTAACTCGTAAAAATTAGAAACAGAATCGAAATTTGCCTGCACACATGTTCTTTATTATTTCTACTTGTGCAAAACGTATAATAAAAAAAAAGAGATAAATTTATTTCTCCATTAAAACTACGGCGGCACAGGGTCCGCCGTAAAAGCGGGCTAGTCAAGGTGCGCCGCTAAGTAGATCCTTCGGGCGAGAGCTGTCGCGCGTCGCTGAGATCTCATTCGTCACGGTTACGATCGGGGAGCGTTGCGCTCGAAGGATCGTGATCTGATCGGCGGCACGATCTCACGGTAGATCTTCGGCGATGGACGTACCACGGACGGGCGAGGTGGCCCGCGGTCCGCGTTTGTACCGACGATACCGAGGTATATAGGTATCGAGATTCGTTCGACGTATGTACGGCGCGAACAAGCGGGGCACGTGTGTTCTCCGTAACACGCACGTGATCGAGCGCGAGCGAGCATCGACGGATGAATGATGGCGATTTATCGATTCCACGACATCGACCTCGTTCGACCTCCTCGCGCGAGCCGGCCGGTTCCGCTGCCTCGGAATCAATTAATAGCCAAATTGGCCGGTCATTACCGCTGGCAGATGCAATTCCGTGATGAACGATTCAAGCGAGCGCGGTCGGCCGCGCGTTTTCTCAGCGTAACGATGACCGCCGTTGGCAATCCACACGCTCACATTTTCCTGAGAATCATAAGAATGCTAAGTTCGCGGGAAAATAAAAAAAAGTCAGAATTATCGTAGTATTTCAAGCCCTCTCGAGTGATAGCCGACGATCCGTTTAGATCTAACGCGTCGCGCCAGGACGTGTCACCGATCCGCCGCTTGATAGATGATGCCGTATAATTGAACAGTTTATTTCAGTGAGATCCCCCTCTCAAAATCATTAGTTTGTCAGTAATATCGAGTCAAAGGCGGATCGTTAACGCACGTCGTTTCGACGTAAAAAGGATCTTAATCAAATTGATGAAAAAGCGTCCCCTGTTCGGTTTACTTTTCGCAATCGGCAATTAATCGTTTTATTAATGATGTACGAAATCCGGTTCAACGGCAATTCATTACGAGCCTTTCCTGCGTTATCCGACGTCGCGCCGCGAAAACACGACGCGAGACCACATCCAATTACAGACGTATCCCCGCGCCGTACACGCACGCGGCAGGTAAGGCACGCACCAGCACGCGTATACGCGATAATTGCTCCCCGATCGATCCGACGCGCGCGATGAGTCTGGACCGAAACGGGAACTGCGGCTACTCGGATCTGGGATGTGTGCCCTTCCTAGATAGCGTTTCGACAAATCCGCCGGCGGGATCTGCCGCGACGAGATTGCGACTGCCCGTCTCGGCTTGATCTCGCGCGATCAAGTTTTTCTGTCGCGATGCAACAGGAAAAACCAGGTAGACGGTAGAACGTTATCGTCTCGGCGAGTCGATTCGAGAAGAGAGAGACGGCTGTCCATTCCATTTCCACGGTTCGTGACGTCCGCGTTGTCGACGACGATGTCTGTGTCGCCGGTGACATCGGGTGACATCGACCGTTCGGCCAGTGCCTTAAAGATGGTACTCGATCGCGTACGCGGACGGCATAATTTATAGACCGCTATTTATTCTCGATTCAACTCACTCGTCCTTCCCCTCCCCCCTTCCCTCGTTTCCTCCTTTCGCATAGAAGCGTTATAGAGGTATAGAATTTATCGTAAAATAATTTTGTCTGAGCGCATTAGATTATAGTCTGTCGCATAGCAATTTTCCGACTTATACACCTCCTACTCCGATTTCTCCGTAAACGTTGTAATATCCGCGATGTCGCGCGGCGATGGACGAACGGCGACGGGAAATCGGAAAGTCGCGCGGTCAACTTCCCGCACGACGACGCGCCGCGGCGACTTCCCGTCTTCTAACCTAATTTATATTTATCTGCTCACCGCTTTTCGCGCCTCGGAATTAGAAACGGAGAACGCGCTCGCGCTTTAGAGCGATTACCACCTCGTATCGTGGCATATACGTGAATGCACCTGCAAACGTGCTGTTGAAATCGAATCGAAGATAGATATACCCGCCAAGTGGTATCTCTATAATAGCGACGCCGACGGCCGTCGCGTCGTTTCGCCGATCGTAAGTACGCGCGACTTTGATCGAGTGAATCTCGTGATGTACGTGTCTACGATATGAGTAAACCGTTCGCCACCGACGTGCGAACGATGAATCCACTCCGTTGCGCGCGATTGACAAATCGATTGAAAAAAAAAAACGCGAACGTGGTCGATCATGATTATACTCACTAATTGAAGTCGCATCGCGACGCTGCCCGACCGCCCGACGCGGCGACGCTCCGCCTTCTGCTCGCGACAGTCGCGACAGTCGCGTCTGCTGCATGCAACTTCACGCCGGTATCGCGCAGCTATTAACGCGATCATTAGGGTCGCGGTTAATTTTCATCGTGCCACTTCGTAAATTATACACAGCTCCGCGATGCAACCGGAATGCAGAACAATGAAGGAAATTCCACGACATTTAGAGGGAATAACTGTTTCTTCAACAACGCTTATAGATTCGAATGTGTCACGCGTGTGTCACATTTTAAACTTACGATTTAAATGTAATTTGACTATTATACCCACCGAGACATTACTAAAGACGGTCGACCGAAGGTAAATTTTCGTGACTGTCAAGTGGACCCGCGGGTAATTGAAGAACGGTAATTGACATTACCAACGCTTCTGGCTGTACTGAGGATAACAAACACATCGTTCCGCGTGACCAAATCACTATTTTATTATCGACAGTGAAAATTATTTTTCCATTTTTGCAATGTTTTCACAACTGTACGTATATACACGTGTACGCAAACGTTGTGAAAATAAAAAAAAAAAAAATACGTGTATCCATATTGCAAACGTTGCGAAAATTGAAAAATAATATGTAAACTTTTTCACTGTCGACTACACTCGTCGGTGCAGTTATTACTTTGAGATTAACAACGCGGGAATCGTCCGATCGAGATATTCGCGTAACAAGAGGCCAGGTATTGGCGATTCGTTCGTAAGGAATGGAATGTCCAGTGAATTATTAATTTCACGTTACGTTGAATGTTTTGCAGTGTAAAGTTTGTGTAACGAAGCCGGCTGGGACTCTGGGAGGGGCGCGGGGGGTGTACGCGACCTTGTGGCGCTTGTGTCGCGTAGCGCCCGTACGCAAGGTCGCGCCGGTATTGTCATTCGCGCGGCGAGCCTCGAGGTGATGAGCAGCGACGCGAGGGACGTCCCATGTATTATTCTTCTCTATTCACTTCTCAAGACGTTCCTTACGAATAGCAATTATTGGTAATTATTATCGACTCGCGTGATTGATCTTTCCGCGACTTCGTATCAATATACAGTACGAAATAATTCTCTCGACGTCGAGCGTCTCGTTGCAAATCCTGTCGAAGCCATGGCGTCGATTCGCCGATCGGCGACAAATTTCTCTCGTATAGAAATCCGACGGAAGTACGTCTCGTTTCAGTCGCGTCATTCGTTACAAAGAACGAGCAGTCCGCAGGATTCACGCGCGTCCGAAGTATATATCGCGCGCGATGTTAAATTTCAGTTGGCTGCGCGGTACCGAGTGAAATTGCCGCGGTCGCGAGACCCTCGCGCGACTCGTCGCCGCGTCGGGCGGTCGGCCAGCGTCGCGCGATGCGACTTTAATTATAGTGTAGTATAGTCATGATTAACCGCACGTATTGTGGTATATTTTTCAACCGCGCGTAGCGGAGATTCGCATGTCGATAGCGAACGCCGCGAACGGTTTACTCATTATAAACATGTGTATCACGAGATTTGAAAGTCGCGTATGAGCGGTCAGCGAAGCGACGCGCGACGCCACGAACGATCGTACCGATCGGTCGCTCGGAGATACTGCTTCGCTGCAAGTATCTATCTTCGATTCGATCTTAATCAGCATGTTTATAGGTATTCACATACGCCATACGATATATACGAGATGGTAATCGCTCTAAAGGGCGAGCACATTCTTCATTTTTAATCCGAGGTGCGCAAAAAGCGGACAGAGGTATTAGGTTAGAGTTGATTTTCGAACAGGAAGTCGCCGCGGCGCGTCGTGCGTAAAGTTGACCGCGCGACTTTTTGATTTCCCGTCGCTGCTCGTCACGCCGCGGATATTGTATAACGTTGATGATATGAGTTATGTTTTCACGTTGTTCTTTCGTCTCGATGTAATAAAGTTGGCGCCGTGTGCGATTAACGTCGGGAGTGCCGTGCACAACTTGTCGGGCGACCGTCGTCCTTTACTAATTAGTGCTCGCGCGCGATCGCAATTACCCGTGTGTGTATTGTGCGAGTGAGG